CCTTGTCTGTCGAACACATCTATTCTGTTAACTCTTGCTGGTATTATCTGTCTACCTAACATCTAATCCAGGTACTTTAATCGAACTGTTTAGTCGATTTTCTTCTAGACATCTCGATAAATGTATTTGTGATGTGATAGAAAAAACTTATTTCTGCTAAAAAAAATTCAACGTCCAGTTTGGACAATTCAGGACTGACTCATATAAATGCACAAGACTGAAGGTAACCAATCCTTCAGAGATAAAGGAGCATTGCAAAGACAGTCAGGAAATCTCCAATAAGCAAGGCAAAAGACAGGCAATCCAGAGGATTATGGATACAGGTGCACAGCAGAAATAAACCACAGGAAGCTCTTTCCACAATACGCGAAGCAGAATCTGGGAAATATTCGCCACAGCCTCACATACTATAGTGATTTACCCATCACTCCCTTTTCTGTCAGTTCACATTTTATACTCCAAATGATTTGAAAACAGAGATTGTTCTAATGTACATTTCAGCCATATGCATCCTTGTTTTCTATCAGCTGCACCGCATTGAAAAGATGGCAAGGAAAATCAACAAAGTTGTATGAATATTCAGCTAACATGGAACCAACCCCAATTAAAGGGAATGCGTATAAATGTTTACTAGCAAGCAATATACAGGCTGGAAAATTTCCCTTTAAGCAGGTTTGAGAATTTCCAACTTGTGTTCTTGTTTTTCTTGCCAATTTCTTTAATCAGGACTTTCTTGCTTTCTCTGTTCCAGTGGCTGGATGGGAAGGGGAAAGCAGCTAGAGAAATGAGACCGCCATCTATGGTTATTCCATGTAGCTACCATGTGATAAGAAAATAATAACACTGCTATTCCCTGTTGATACAAGGCTGAAGCACTGAATAAAATGCCAGTAATATCCTGGAAAAATAAGGATTATTTACAAATAGTTGAAAGAAGGGACAAAGCCCCATCACCTGAGAAGTCAGCAACAGATATCCTATTGTTTTTTAAAATATCCTCCCCTCCCAAATATACTATATTTCCTAACTCAAGCAAGGGCAGAATCTGGATAGTGACAAGTATGCAAACTTAAAATCAGACTAGAATAATTTTCCAATTTCTCAAACAATTGGAAAGCAGTAAATAGGCAACTTTTTAATGGATTGATATGCGTACAGTAAAAATAATCTCACCACCCACTGTGATGTTACCTGGGGACTGTTATCAAAAGGAAAGTTACATTTTTTTCTAAAGGCAAAACTTTAGATTTTACCCGATTCAGATAAATTTACTGTCTGTTAAAGACCGGTTATTTTGCTGGGTATCTCAGGAGCAAGGAGCATAGATATGCACTTGACTTATTTCTTGATATATTTTAGGAATGCCTGTAGCAATTTTTAATGCCTTAAAAAAAAAACAAATTAGTCAGGTTCCACGTAAGTCAGTTTGTACTTTTTTCCCCCTCCCAGATCAAATTAGACAAAAACTTTTGCCAGCTATTTTCTTCCTTCTTTTTAGCACCATAGAGTATTATAAAATTGAGCCCAGAACTGGGGAAATTGTTTTTCCTAAAGTCAGGTCTTTCTAACTTGTCATTGGAGGCACGAAACATTTCCCTTGCAAGGCACGTTAGGCCGTTTAACACACTTTATTAGAGGCCCATATCAGGGGTGGGTTCTAGTAGGCACTACTGTCGGTTTGCTCCTGGGAGCACTTCACATGTGCATGCACAGCGCAATAAAAATTGTTCTGCACATGTGCAGAAGCAAAAAAAACATGATGGTGTGCCTATGGCGCTGCCCAGAGAATCGGTTCGGGGGCGTGGTTGGCCTGGGTCACTACCAGTTCCAGCGACCTAGACCGCCAAACCTCTGGCTTGGCTAAACTGGTCCGAACCGGCAGGAACCCACCACTGGTCCATATTCCTATTTATTTAATAAATTTCTATGCTGCCCATCTCATTGACAAGTGACTCTGCAATGAAGCAGGTTTATTCCATAATTATCCTCCATTGTTAAATTAAAAACTACAGCACAACAATTCTCCATGCTGCCTCCAAGACTTCATGACCTTTTGATCTATGCAATATATGATTTAAAAATAAAAGGAAATCATATATCTCCCCAACAGTGCTCCATATTCTAGGCTAGAGCCAGGCTGTCAAACTCTTGGCCCGCAGGCCGGATGCGTCACGTGATGGCCATGCACACGCCCAGTTTAGCAGAGTAAAAAAGTCCAGGTACATCATGTGATGCTGCCATGACTCGAGTTTGACACTCCTGCTCTAGAGCATGGGTGTCCAGCCTTACTTTGCCTTGCCTGGGACACACCGAGTGAAGAGGAAGCTTCTTGGCCCACATATCAAATATATTATTCAATGTATATAAATAACAAAGTTCAGTATATATTTTATCCGTCTTGTGGGGCCGCATTATTAGCTGCCCAGGACTGCATGCAGCCCTTGGGCCACAGGTCGGACACGCCTGGTCTAGAAATCACTTGGCCTCAGAAGTCCTATTTTTCCATTGCACAGGTGCATATACAAAAAAGGTGAATAAAAACTTCCACCAAACTTAGTAATGTGACCACAGGGCAATTATACAAAGCTATCATTATCAGCGTCAGCCTAGGTGCTCCCCAGAGCTTATAGAGGCTGAAAACCTTTAGCCTGAAGCTGCAGAATCAGGCGTTTACAAAAACAAATCACAATCTAATTACAGGTTTGATTTCCCAACTTTCCCCTGCTACACCTATGGGCTGATCTCGGTTATTGTGCTCTTTTAACCTTCAGTAAACAAGCAAGAGATCTTTTCACTGGAGTACTACTATTCAGCTCTGTAGCATTTTTCTACAGCAGTTACTCGAAGGTTGATTTTCAAATTTTGTGTGGAAATTTAAGAGTGTAAAGCAAGTGATTTATATGAGGAATTTGAAGCTATCAACATTTCAAGTAATGTTCCAGGGAAGACATGATTCTTTCAGTAAAGTCCTCATTTAACAACTCCCGCATTGATAAAATACCAAAAAAGCAACTGCCTCTTTAAATTTAGCCGACCATAACAGTAACCAGGATTCCTGAGAGTAGGGATCCCTACCCAATTTTCAATCTCAATACGTATTATTAAACAGAAAACCTAATAGGGAAAATAATATATCAAGAGCTGCTGAAGAATTGTGTCATCCTAAAGTATTTTGGATTTGCCTAAGGACTCAGTCAATACTTTTAACACTTCAAATATCTTGCTTCCATTCTCTATTTTGAGAGGTTTAGTCTTTCTTTGATCTTTTAAAACAGCTAATAGTTCAACAGTAACCAACCTTGACCAGTATCTGATGATCCTCGCGTAACTAGAATCTGAAATGCAAGGTACAGGTAGTTCTCAACTTACAATTAGAAGTGATTGAGGCCCAATTTTATGAGAGTTTCTGCCATGGTTAAGCAAAATCACTGCATTTGTTAAATGAATCTCACTTCCTCCATGACTTTGTCAGAAGCTCGTTGGGAAAGTTGCACGTCGTGATCATTATGACCTGGACACAACAAATATATGCCGGTTGCCAAGCTCCTTAATTTTTATCATGTGACCACAAAGATGATTTAATGGTCAACAAGTTGGAGGGCCTAGTCACCTTTTTCAGTTCCATTTTAACTTTGGTCACTAAACAAATGGCTCTGAGTCCAGGACTATTTGTATATGTATAGTTAGAACCAACTGTTTATCCTCCCACCCACCCCCACCGCCAAATCCTGGACTTAAATGCTTGTCAACTGACCAATACTTCTTACAGTTGGTGGCTTTAACACTGTTATTGTAAGGACTGTTATTATTATCTTTTTTGAGAAGAATCTAGAGATAGCCTCAGTATCTAATATAGGGCAGATCAAAACAGCATAACCTGAAATGATTTATGCAAGTGCAAAATCAATTCTATCGTACCTTTAAGAAGCATGTCAAGAGATCCACATCCTTGTTTCCGCAGGGGCATAAGGAATCCTACACTATTTTACACCATGGTGTTTTTTGGGGTGGGAAGCCAAGTTCAGCCAGCTTGCTAAGATCTTTGATAGGAGATAATTTACTGTGGTACCTCAATTGCTTTGAAACTCATCCAATCTTTGGCACTGAACACATTTTGACATGAAAATTTTGTCCTGGTACTCATTTGATGCCCAACGCACGAGAACCTGTTGGTGTCAGGTGCCTTGTGACTCACTACATTATTCCTTTATGGGGAAAATTTGTTTGGTACTCATCACGCTTCCCGGAACCAATTAATGATGAGTACCAAGGTACCACTGTATTAGATTTATATGCTACCTGATTCCCAGTAACTCTAGGCAGCCTCTGAAAACTAGAGTTGTAAATTGTATTAGAAAAGCAGCAATAGAAAACCATTTCCATGCTACAGTTGGAGAAGTTTTTTTTTAATAAAAACATTGATGGGGTTTACTAATGTGGCACCATGATGGAAACAGGGCTTGCTAAGAGCATGGGCCCCGAGCAAGTATTTTCAATAACCCATTAGGAAATTCCATTAATTTTTAATCAAGTGCCACCCGTTAACAGGCTTTAAAATTTCTGCAAGAATGTTAATTATGTTACAGATGTTAACTACTGTTAAACCTCAAGGATTATCCAGGTGAAGCTAAAGCAACTGTTTTACCCACCAGTCCTACTTGATACAGAATTCCGTAGCACTTACCTTTTATCATCCACATTCTGCGGTGGCCAAGTTGCATGAACCCTTGGCTACGCATCCTGCTAGAGCAGCCACGTATTTCCTTCCATGTGCCTGACCATGTAAGAAGCCCCAGGATGTTTATTATCTTTGTTCTCAACCCCTTTTTCATCAGGGCTTATTTGTGCCCAGGCTACTACCAGTGCTCCACTGCTTATGAATGGGCCACAGAGCACAAGATGAAGCCCATCAATTACCAGGCCAGGAACTTAACCAGGGAATTCATCATAGCAGAAGAGCACCATATATGGGCATTATTCAATACAACAAAACCACCATGCACTTTTTTATAAAATTTTATTTGTCAAAAAGAAAAAGGCAATAGCCAATTGAAAGCCTACTTAATCTTAAAAGATTCCAATTTCTTTGCGTTGTTAAATTTAGGTAAATGACTTATTGTTTTAACATTTATAAACAACCCCGCCCCTTTTTTTTCCCCTTTAACATTTACCATCTATTTGTGCTGAATCCTTCCAAGGAGAATGCTCCAGCGTACCTCTCCAGGTCCTTGCTTTGCTCCTTTTACAAAAATAAAAAATGAAAAGAAAACTCCATCGTGCATGGGCTCCAATCGTCAAAAATAGGAAAAAAAAAATCTTTGGAATAGCCAATTGAGTTGAATAAAACTCCATACGAGTGCGGTTTGGTTGGGGCAGGAATCCACTCCTATGTTCCTGGTAATCTGATCCCGCTCCATGAATCCTTGAAATTGATCCTCCCTATCCTATCCACATTATGATTTGAATCCAATGATCCAGCTCCAAGGATTGGGATCCAGTGAGCCCTCTCCAATCCAAACCTTTATAACCAGCAAAACCAAAAAAGAGGAGGCAAAAAGTTAGATACCGTAATGAAAAATAGGATTCTGGGGAATGATCAGTTATGTCTGCCGCTGAATAATAAAAACAGGCATTGATAACTATCAGTTCCCCAAGACAAACTTTTGTATTGTGAAGCTCAAATTTTAGCAGTTAATCATTTGGAAGAAACATTCTAATATTTACAAAGGATAACTGATAATTTCAACATTTCAATTACTATATGTGCATTACAGGTTTTGTGGTTGGAAAAAAAATGCTACGAAGTTGCCAAATCCTGCTGCTAGAACTATCCAGGCCTAAACTAAAAGCTCATTATACTCAGTTTAGAAGTGACAAGATTAACTGAAGTTATCAGTCAGTTTCTCATTTATCTTGCAGGGGAAGAGAGAAGATGGAAAGAAATCCCCAGTGTGCTCCCCCACCACCACTTCCATTCCATTACTTTTAAGATGAAACAGCAAAATGCTCTATCAGTCACACAGAGGACATGCAGATTTTAGCAGTATTGAGATTATACTTCCATGTCTGAAAAACCTGCATGTTACAAGGATAGAAACGGGCAACATCTGTAAGCAACCGACAGAGTAGATCCCCCACTCCCCCATGCATCCAGCTAAGCCACAATTGTCATGATGATAGTCAGAAAACTCAACTGACTAGAAAATGAGTGGAACAATAGAGAACAGGCGTGCCTATTTCACTATTCTCTCTGTATAAGGTCAATACTGCCAATTTAATCTGTGACAATAGCACTTGGAGTCATACCATTGCCTCCATTTTTGATCTGATCCTCCTCAATCCTCCTTTTGACAATCCTAAAATGATTGACATGTGCTCCACAATCCTTTAATCCAAAGCATTCTTAATCCATCTCTTCAGATATGTCTACAGAAAGACACATGAAAAGGCAAGATAAAAATGTAAGCTCCCCCAAAAGAGACAATTTAAACCCCCCCAACATCCCAAGCTTGTATAAACCATAGCTGAACAAAGACATTTTAATACAGCAATATCACAGTTGGAGGAGAGTGGGCAGCAAACTAGCTAGAAAGAACCCTGACTAGGACATGTTAAAATACAATTTATGAAAGATGCAAGGGAATGTTGATGTTAAAGAACAAATACTCACTAGGGATATCATACAAAACTGCAATTCAACACTTTAGCCAATTTTCAGTAAAACAGTTTCAGTTCTCTTCTCCCCCCCCCCAAAAGAATGGACTATTTATGGGCAAATGAAAACTGCATACAACATGGAGAAATTCTACAAAAAGGAGCACTATTAAAGATCGTTTATGTACGAGAACGTGATCTGCTGTGGCGGGGAGAGTAGCGTGGAGATCCTCTGCTTCGTCTCGGGGAATAACTGCGACTTCTGCTGTTGCTTCGGCTACGGCTTCTGCTACGACTACGGCTGCGGGAACGAGATCTTCCATAACTCGGACTTCTTGGGCCATCAACTTTAACACGGATGTAGGCAGTTTCTCCCTATCAAATAGACACAACTTTCGATTGAAAGGTCTGAGTTTTTAAGCAGTCTTTTGCAGGCATGCTGATAAACTGGTTTTTTTTTTTAAACAAGAAAAGTTGCATTACTTCTCCATACATTACTTAAGCACGATATCCATCTTAGCCCTTTCTACATTTTTAAACACTATAAACAGAAAAGTTGCACTTCCTTACCTTCAGTTTTACTGCATCCAAATGCAACCCTCTGAATCCAATTCTTGCTAAAATATTAAGTGGAAAAACCTACCTCATGAGATCTAAACTTAGTGTTATCCAGTTTTCGCACTGCGTAGGTCATGTCTTCTTTCCGAACAAACTCCACGACACCAGTTCCATCTCGGAAAACATCAGCATAACATACATCACCTGCTTCACGCATGTGATCCTTTAAATCCTGCCAGCTTCCACTGGGAGGCAATCCTGAACGAGAGACAGTTGTTAAGTTATTGCTAGTGAAATACAGGTATTCCTCAACTTAGTCCTTCCTGTGCACACTGGAAACTAATCATTTCACCTGTTAATCATGGTTTAAAACCTGTACATTCTTCCAAATTATAGGTAGTTTTTGACATTTGACCATTTCAAGAAGTTTAAATAAACTGCCTGTAAAGAACATTCAAGTGCTGCAAAATGCCCTACCGCATGGTCATGTGACCATGATCTGGTTGCTTGGCAACCATTTGCACTTGATCCTCATTTATCATCATCTTTGCAGCTGCCAAGAGAACTCCCTCTGGTCTCAGGGGGCAGCCTGAAAAAGCTGTAAACTGCTGGAGGATTTTATCAATCCAAGTAGACATGGAGCCGAAATCCTTAAGAGCAGGGAGGCTCCAGAGATGATGAGGATTTCTAGAATTTCCTGAGTATAAGGACACTGCCTATGCTGGATCTCCCCCGTTCTGAAGCACCCCATGTGCATCTGTAGTTCCATCCATGTAGTGTTCTAAGATTATGGTAATGCATGCTACTTAAGAACTGCTTTGAAGAGTCTACAGAATCTGTAACAAGTTAGAATGCAAATGAGTGCTTGCTTAGGGGATTATGTTATTTTAAACTGTATACTGTATTTCTCAACTAAGTTTAAAGCATGTGGGTGCTTATCCTGAAAGCCCAAAGGGATTTCACGTAAAATATTTTAATCATCTCCTCCAAAATCAACTTCTCTTCTTCCAAAATCCAGTGTTTAAAGAATTCTTTTTATCTTCCAACTACAGTGTAAGCAAAGGCTGAAAAGCACAAAGTAAAAGAAAAGGGCTTTCTCGTGGGCTGCCCTTGAGTTGTAGAATTTTTTGGGCCAGAATGCTAGCTTAGCCCTCTTTTTGATTGTTCTTTATAGCATTCCATCTTGCCTAGATATGCTGTTAATTCACCAGTTAAAAAATAAAAAATGTTCAATTATCTGCACATTCTTTCATAATTTTTGATTCTATTATTGCTTTTCATTGTTAGTAGTTTTGAAGCGCATACATGCAACAGGAACATAAACTTTTGAAAGCGTATTTATAGTTGTTTAAAGTAAGCAAACTTATCTCGATTAAACCAGATCTAGTATTTTGGGGGCAAATGATGAACAATGTACAGATTTTCAAGATACTAAATCGTGAGTTAATTAGATACCCAGAAAACAACTGAAAGATGGCTTAGATAAATATACACCATCAACAATTTTATTCAATTTTTAACCAGTCAAATCATTTTCAAAATGAACCTGGAGAAATTTGTTTTAGCCCAAGGGGAAAAGCTTACCTGATACTATCACTCTGTACTCAGAACGCCTCGATGGGGGTCCATATCTGCCCCTTGGGGCCCCACCACCTCCACCGCCTCCTCCTCCTCTGCCAGTGCCTCGACCACTTCGAGGGAACTCCACCCGTAGACGGTACCCATCATAATCATATCCATCCCGTCCATACACTGCATCTTCTGCATCCCTGCAAGAAGAGAAAAAAACAACAACCAGAGTTTAGATCCAGGATTCCTGAAAGACAGCTACATCACAGGCCCTCCAGGAACACACTGCAAGCAGGAAGTTGGCCTTTATCTTCAATCTACAAAATAAGAGAAGACTTTGTCCCAACAGAATTACCACACAATTTTTTTTCTGTAAATAAGCAACTAAGGTTCTTCCACTCTTGACATTGCAGCACAACTGTACAAAGAAATGCATTACTTTTTAGCATATGTATAAAAAGCAATGCTGTTTGTTTAAACTGGGAAGCAATAAAGTAACATACAGAACAACCTTAGACATTTTAGATTCCAAGAGGGGAAAAATCTCAATGCATACATTTTGGGGAGCAAAGGTGAATTACAATATTACCTGCCCAGTAAGTGTGAATATAGAAGATTACTACTATTTTCTCTTACTAGTTTTCATTTTCCCCTTCTGAGTGTTCATTAATAGAAAATATTTTTTTTGGTAAAAAATAGTCTACGTGGTTATTCAAATATCAATTTAGAATCTAGCTTAATAGCAATGAATACATAAATCTATAGGTAACTTCACTGCAAAATAATGGATTGGAACTCATAAAAATGTAGTTGACACTTAAGTCACTTTCATTCTTAACTTCGAAATAAAGTATTTTAAAGTGGCCTAACTGCAAGCAACATTACAAGAACTAGAAATTAAGTTATGCCACTGTTTTGAAATAAGCCTTTGGACTCCAAATAAACTTTCCCAAAACTTGGTGGATTCCACTTCACCTTACACAGGGCAGAGATCAACATTCTTGGATTTGATCCCTCTTTCTCAATTTTTGCAGGACCAATCCTGCAAAGTATATCCTGTTAAGTGTCTAGGGGAGATATCAGTCATCCAGGTCATGGTTGTAGTCCCAAAGATGTTTTTCTCAAAAGGCAACTGGATTTGTTTTTCCTTGAAGACACGTTTTGCTTCTCTCATTCAAGAAGTTTTTTGAGAAAGGAAGAAGCTTCTTGGACGAAAAACAAAACATTTTAATATCTTCAAGGAAAAACAAAGTCCAATTGCCTTTTGGGGAAAAAAATACGTTTGGAATTTACCTGTTACAGTACAAATGTTGCAGAGGGAAAACAATCTACAAAAGAACCTCCCATACAAAAACTTCCAAATGGATTTGAACCCTCTACCTTTGATAAATTCACGGCCTCACAAAAAAATCTTCCATAAATATTTTTCCCATTAAGAACCCTCCCATGTTCTGACCACAAGTTTGACCTTCCTGGGGACAAAAACCAGGCATGACTGGGGTGCAGAGACACCTAGAAAACAGCAGGTGCCACATGCATGGGAATGAAACAGAATAACAATTGGAAGGGACCCTTGAGATCTATTAACAAACACCCAGTGGAACAACTTGTCTCCAGAAGTTGTGGATGCCTTCCAACTGTTACTCTGCTTGTTTCATTCTAGTCAACCCCCTGCTTAGGCAGGAAACCCCTTATCATTTCAGACAAATGCTTGTGTCTCTTCTTTAAAAACTCCGTGTTGGAGCATCCACAACTTCTGAAGTCATTCCACTGTGTTTTTGTTAATATGATTTATTGGGTATGGGACTTTCTGTCTCCAGTGTGAGTTGCATTGTGTTTGGGGGTGGGGGGTGCACTGAGGGAGCTCAACCAATCTCATTGTACATGTTGTGCACTGATAAATAAATTATCATCATTATCATCACTGATTAATTGTTCTGTCTGGAAATTTCTCCTTAGTTCTAAGTTGCTTCTCTCCTTGATTGGTTTCCACCCATTGCTTCTTGTCCTGCCCTCAGGTGCTTTGGAGAATAGCTTGATCCCTCTTCTTTGGGGTAACCCCTGATATACTACTGGAAGGCTGCTATCATGACTCCCCTCAATCCTTCTTTTCACTTCACCACCCCAGGAGTTTGGCCACCTCCTCCCAACCCGTCTATTATGCATGCAGAAGCATTCATTACAGGGCAGGAACCGTTGAAAAGCCTCCCGATGTCCCCAGGAGGATGTACGGCAGCGCCTTTTATTCCAAAACGTTATTTTCTTTTATCCCACAATATCCCAACACGGCTTCCCACGCCCCAAAACGGAGCGGCTTTCCCGCGATCGAGTTCTCAAGTCCCGCTCTTCCCGCATCGCCTCGATCGCCCGACACGTGTTAAGGCGAGGATGATGGGAGTTGAAGTCCGTCAGGCCTAGCCTGGCCTAAGAGAAGCTGCCCACCCATCCCTTTTCACGGGCGGCTATCCCCGCCACCCACGGGGCGATTTTTCCCCCACGCGCGGCGTCCCGTTCCGTCCCGTCCACTGACCTGGGGTCCTCAAACTCGACGAAGGCGAAGGGCGGCCCCCCTCGGCGGTTCTTGAGATCGATGTCCCGAATGGCTCCGTACTTGTAAAAGACGTCCTCGATGTCCTTGGTGCGGATGTCCGGCGGCAGGTTACCCACGTAGATGCGGCAGTCGTTGTTCCCGGCCGGGCCGCGGATCACGCCGCCACCAGACATGGCGAGGTCAGCAATGGCTGCGGTTGGGGTTGGTCGGCGCGTGAGAGAAGAGGCGGAGGAGCAAGGGCGGGAAGCAGCCCAAGTAGGAGCGGGGGTGAGGAGAAAAGAGGAACTTAAAAAAAGAAAATCCGGCAACGATCCGATCCAACCGAAGGCGGAAAAAAGGGGAGCGAAACGGGGTAAAAAAGCGTGCGAGGCCAAAGGGAAACGACAAGAGCAGCAACGCCTCCTCCCGCTTCGGCTCTCTCAGCAGCCACAAAATGGCGGTCCACTCATGCGCTCTACTTACCCTGCGCAAGGATCCTTCCGCGCCGTTGACGTCACACTCCCGAGGGTGGGAGCTGAGGCGAGTGCGGCCTTCCCGCCTTTTGTAAGGCGCATGCGCAGCTCTCCAGATTTTTTGTCACCACCCCCGCCCGAAATATTTATTTCCAAAGTTATTATCGAATAGCTTATGGGACGCCGTTCGATATTTACCGACCTTAGACGCGGCGTTTTTTAAAGTCACCCTCTTGGGCTTTTTACTTGAAAGAAAACACCTCATTTCAAAAAGGCCTCGTGGCTGAGGACTTCCGTTAGCCTCCAGGGGGCCGCGAACCGTTACAAGTGCGCGCGAAGAAGATCCGGCTTTTTATAAGGAGTTGCACAAAGGAGGAGGGTGAGTAATCCCACAATGCATCACGCGAAGGGCCGCCTTGGCGCCAAAGAGAAGAATGTTCCCATAATGCATTGCGAAAGAACGAGGGCTGCCAATAAGATTTCAGGTCGGGCGGCGACTGGAAACGAAAATTAAAATGTGGACACGCTGACCCAAAAAAACCCATCTCGGGAGGCCTCCTTTCCGCGTAAAAGAAAGTTACGTTTGAGGAAAACAAACGGTATCTTTAAAAATGAGGCTCAGCGGACGCATCACCGGATTTAAAAAAACATTTTTAACTTTAAAAAAAACATTTTTTCAAAAAAAATATTCTCTCCATGGTGCAGTTCGTTAACGTAAACACAGAGAAAACACGTGTTTATATTCACGTGTGTGTTGCAAAAGGAAAGCTTGCAATGCCCGGATGTATGAATGCCCTCCCCCCTCCGCCTCCCAATTGCTAGAATGTTGTTAAGGTTGCATTTGTTGCATAGTCTTCAGTTGTCTGGATTTGCCACTTTATTAATTTATAGCAATAGCAGTTATATACCGCTTCATAGGGCTTTCAGCCCTCTCTAAGCGGTTTACAGAG